TAAATCAAAGTCATCTTCCACCTCCTTCCTTTCTCTGGGCAGCCCATCCCTTTGCAACACAAATCTCCCACTTCCAAAGAAGTTTTCATCTCAGTTGGTTAGCATTTAGACCTCTTCAATCTTTCCTTCTCATGGTGCCTCTCTGCCTGACTTGGATAGTTTCCTCCAGCACTGCCTGACAATGAACTAGCATCACCTGGGCTCCCTGTGTTCATCGCAGTGCCTTAGCATTTTGACCTCTTAAGTCTTGCCTTCTTCTGTGCACACTTGTCAGACTGAATACAAGAGCCACATAGATTAGCTCAGCAGGACATAAGCAGGAACCTTGTGTGTGGTTGTTCAGGGTGTGGCTATGCAGGATTCGTACTTATGTAGGACTTGCTGCACTGCATATACTCAGAGATGTTCAGAACTAAAAGCAAAGCTAACAATCTTTGGCATGCAATGAGATGAGCGAGTTAAAGCAGATTTATTTCCCCATCGGAATCAATTCAATTCTTACCTGATTTTGGATAAGTAGCTATAAATATGTCACTGTCCTTGATTTCAAAATTCTCCAGGGAAGCTACATACTCAGGTGTAGTAGTTACAGCAAAATAAAACCCTTTATAATTGAACACAAACTCTTTTGATGGTTCCATCATCAATCTGTTATCGCTCATGGGTGAATAAGCTGCAATAAGAAAATATAAAACTATAGATTTTGGTTTTGCTGTTATCTCATGGAAAAATCAAAGAAACAAAAAAAAAAACATAGAAAAAACGAATTTTGCTATACAAATTCACTGTAATTAAGCTTTGAATTTTTCATAAACATCAGGTTTTAAAACGAAAAAAGAAATAAAAAGGCTAATAACATGATTGTTTATTCATATTCGTGTACGTTAACTGCATCTAGAAGATGATGTAAATAACAGCACTCTATGTAAATAATTATTTCTCAAAGTCCCTCTAGGATTTCAATGTCTAATGTTTCCATTGGTTGTCACCAGCTCTTAAATACATTTTGCTTAATCAAGCTTTCATAAACATTGTTATCATGCACCTGTTTACGCTATCCTGCCCTTTTGCCTTATCAATCCTAGAGCTGCGCTGGCCTCATGCTCACCCAGCAGTGAGCTTTTTGATGAGGGGTGTGGTGGAAACAAGGACAGGCCATGACCTTGTGCCCTTGGATGCACCCATGGGCTGCCAGGGACCTGCCTACATGAGGCACATGCACGTGGACACTGCCTATGGGACCTGTGCTCCCTTCAACCCGTGGGTTGCTGTCCCACCATGAGGCAGTGTCAAAACAGGGCAGAACTGGGCCTGCATGTAGCTCAGGTGGGCAGCCTCCTCTCACGGCATGGACACAGGATGCATGGGCATCCCTCAGGCTGGGCCTGCTGCTCCCCATACCCAGCCACTCAGACAGAGAAATGACACTCTGACAGAGTGTCAGAGAAATGACCAAGCAAAAAGGTTTGGGTTAAGCTTATTTTGATATGACTGGAGTTCTCACAGAGCTGGGTTAAATAAATGGAGAATCACTTATCACATCAGAAACACTGGTAGCAGTAATCCCAATAATAAAACCAAAAATGGATTTCAATTCAAGTCATGATAAGAAAACTGGTGGCACAAAGGACAGAAGAATATGGTGAATGAGTGAATATTTTTAGGGTTACAGAGGAAGAGTGAAGAATTTGTAAGAAACAGAATGAAGACACATTAAATATGCAGTACACAGGAATCCTTTTTTTTTTTTTTATCTGATTCTGCCAAAATCTGAGCTTTCATATCACTTTCATACAAAGGTTACTGAACTGGTTCTTTCTTATGGGCATGGAATTATACCATGAGGAAATATATCAGGCAAGAAAATTCATGCCACCTTGGCTAGGAAACATTCACAGTCTAGTGCATCCGATGGGAGAAGAAATAAACATTCCAATAGGCTCCAATCAGCCAGAAATGCATATGAAAAGTGCATCTAAAAATCTGCCTCCAGTTGTGGAAACAAGGGCATTTGCCAGTTTCTCTCCTACACCTAAGGGGATCTGACCCCTCCGTTTTGCTCAGGGAGCTGCCTCACAGCCACAATTCCAACCCCTTGCTGAGCAGTACAGAAAAATGGGTGTAAAACTCAGCTTCTGACACCAGCTGTCAGAGCCCAGCTGTATGGCCGTCCTCCCCTCAGCACACACTCTGCTTCTCTGGCAGCACCTCTCAAAATGTTTGACAGAAGAGCTCCATGCACAGTTCTACTCATCTTACCAGAAGGGCAATCAGCATAGCATTGTTGAACTCACCAGCCCGCAGCTCCAGTAATGTCAGGCATGCTTACCTTCTGTCTTCTCTCTCAGAGCACACAGAGATGTATGTTATGACTATGAACATGAATAGTTTGAGAGAGGCGTGAGCAGTCACATTTCTTTTTAACTGTCCTGTTTGGCTGTCATTCAGTATTTGCTTATCTGTAATGCAGCTGGAGATTAGAGAACTGAGATAGCCCTTTAGAAGGTTAAAGCAGGTTAAAGATTTAGGAATTGTTTTAATGCAAATTTAATTTTTGTTCCTCCAATTTATCAACACCATTGGTGAGGAAGAGTGAGAGTGAAGAGGAGCAGAAGTGACTACAAGAGTTTTTTTCATTTCTTTTTCTTTCTTTTTTTGGGGGGGGTATGCGTGCGTTTCTTACTCTGCTCCCACAAAATTTTTGCCCACACTTGTTATACCTGCACACTGTATGTGACAGCAGTCTGAGTGCACCACCCTGTTGTAGTGGAGTGAAACCAGTCAGACCTGGCCTCAGCCAAGAGCTTCTAGGAGTGAGTTCTTTGGTTCCCTGTAATCAGATGTAGAAAAACATCACATGCGCACAAGCACCTATAAGTGAAATACAATCTTGCCTGAGACCTTTCTCACTGAAACTTGCACACCAACCACGTT